CTTTAAGCAATCACCTGCTTGCAAAGCACCTGTTCTGCACTTGACCATTGATTTACCTGCCGAAAGCAAGAGACACTGCCTTACTCCAAGTCAAGTCAGGCCCTTTGTGCATCCAGCCCTCCGCTGTGTGCTGTGTTGGACATCAGCTTGCTAGCATCTAGAACAAAGGAGCCTTTGCTATCCCTTGATCCCCAAGGCCTCTGCCTACAAAGCAGGTATTCTACCACTGAACTAAGGGCTCAGCCTCCTGAGCTGTAATAATCTCCACCAAAAAGCTATGGAGGGAGTTTCTAGGACCATTCAGTCTCAGATGCTCTCTTGCCCCGCTGAGCCATTCCAAAGCATTGTCCTGAGCTGTCCCTGGTGGAGAGCGAAGAGTTGCCGATGGAAGGGGAAGTCCAAAAAAACAACCCCTGGGCATGCAGGGATGTGTTTGGCCACACACAGGGCTCCCTTTGTTTCTGAGTGGAAAGAAGGGATTAAGCCCGTCTTAACAAAATGTTCGACAGCAGTTCCTCCCCCTACTTAGTTGTATACACATTGAGGATAGGAGGCTATATTACGGCATGTCAATCTGCTTGCTTGAAAACTAGTAATAATCTACAAAGGCAGGGGTTAGGTTCCGGAGGATGGAAAGGCACTCAGTTGGGCTGTTTAATTTTGCTAATACAGAAGAACAAGCTGTATGCAATGTTGATGCAATGCTGGGCACAGGGTGGCATTCCTGTACATGGGAGGACAGACTTCTGACTTGGCTCTCTAGCCCAGTGTTTCTCAACCTTAGCAGCTTTGGCTGGGGAATTCTGAGAGTTGAAGTCCACACACCTTCAAGCTGCCAAGGTTGGAAAACACTGCTCTAGCCCTACACATCTTGCAGAAGCTCTAGGGAAAGAATTGCATAGGTGTTTTTTTGCTGTTCAGAGCCCTTCCTATCAATTGAGGTGATTAATCCATGCAGTTCTTCGCATGCTATGCGTGGCTCCATTTTCTTGAAGGAACGAAGAAATTCTTGGGGATATCTGAGGACTGCTCTCTTCAAGAGATCTTTAGGTTGGCATTAATATGTATAAAATTTGGAATGTAAGCTGGATGGATAAAAGGGATTGGAGAGAAGCTGGACTCTCTCTCTCACTGTATTAAAAAGAAGCTTAGAATCAAACCTCAGTACTGCTTCTCTCTTACAAACTGGTGTCTGCAGGGTAGGGCCCCAAAAGTCAAGATGGCGGCTACAGTGGTCTAACTGAAACTTTGCTTGTTTTTTCTCTGTGTTGCATGTTATGTGCAACACCCATAAAAACTGGTGGAACTTTGATTGCATTGTCACGGCTGCCATCTTGACTTTTTTTTAGCATACCCTGCAGGTAGCCCTGCTTACAAATTGAACGTATTGGTTCTGGGAAAGCCTGGTGTTTCTTACGTTTGTCTTACTGGGGGAAGGAGTTGAAAAGCAAAGAAGAGGTTGCTGAGGAAGAAAGGAATGACAACCAAGATTAGCCAAGAGCCGATGTGTAGCTGTAGAACAGGAATAGGTCCTGTCCAAGTCAAGGATAGAGCCTCCATGGAGTTTGTATTTCCCAGAACTATTTTCAATTCATGTCGAACATGACTTCCCCAAAGCAAAAAGTTGGAGAACTGTTGATGTAGGTGGTAGTGAAAGCTGATGGTGGTGGGGGAAAAGGTTTCCAACTGGCACTGGGGAGACCCAGATTCGAGTCCCCCCTTCAGCCATGGAAGCTCACTGGAGGGCTTTGGACCACTTCCTTCCTCTGAGCCTAGAGCCATATGAGGTCCTTGTGAAGGTGCTGGACTGAGATGGGGAGACCCAGGTTCTGGTCCTCCCTCAGCCATTGACTTTGTCAGTCACTCTCAGCCCAAGAGCCAGTGTGATGTAGTGGTGAAGGTGTTCGACTAGGAGCACGGGGGTTCTGGTTCCTCCTCAGCCATTGAAACTCATGGGGTGACTTCGAGGCAATCACTCAGATCTCAACCCAACTATCTTACTAAGTTGTTGGGAAAAATAGGAGAAAGGAACACCATATATGCTGACTTCAGCTCCTGAATGAAGGACAGGATATAAACCTATTATTTAATCAATTATTCTAAAAACTGAGCAGTGTGTCCTGATGTATCTGCTAATGACAAGAATTAATATTCTCTCCTTATGTCTCTGTATTCCTTATTATCTGCCTTTCCCCCCAGATTCTCCATCATCTTACCAGACAATAAACCAAAACAATTTTACAGACTCCAGTTCCAAGGGTTCAGCTGCTGAAATCAGGAAGGGAAAAGCAAATGGTCAGTTCTCTGCTGGCAGCATAAAAAGGTATTTCAGTAAAACACTGACTTCAACACCTCTGCCAGCAGTAAAGAAGAATGATGTCTTCAAGGCTACCAGGCGATCAGAAAGGGCAATGGACGAAAGCAGTCACTCTGTTGCATGTGGACCTCAGCAGAATATATTGTGGGTTGAAGAAGACCAATCACCTAGATGGGTGCTGGATGGGGAAATGATTAGCAGTTCTGCTAGAACAAAGATCAGCTTGGTGACTGAGAAATATCCTCATGAAAAGCAATTCACTGGACATAAAGACTGGGAGAATGTGGTGTCTTCTCCAAGGAGAGCAAATGTGGAACTTTCCAGGTCAGATGTAGATGTCGAAACTGATGCCGGAGATGATAGGATCTATTTTACACCTGAACTTTATGATGATGTAGAATTGGTGGAAGAGAAGAATGAAGGGTTGATTCACAATTACAACAGTACTTTGACTTCCTTTGAAACTGCAAACTCTGTTCTGGTGGAAGAGCTTTGTCAACCCAATGCTCAAAAGCCAGGAGATGTCACCTCCAGCTTTAAAGGTGAAGCAGAAGTGGGTGCAGAATGGTGGGGGGGTTATGCAGAACAGCCAGAATAACAAAGGTGCAATTGAGGCAGCTGGTCATAAAGTTAGTGTAGATGAAGCTAAGCAGGAGGCAAAGAGAAGGGAAAACCACCCTTCTGGATCACAAAGCAAAGGTATATCTTGCACTTGAGAAAACAATCACAGGGTCACTATTTCTAGTCAAGGTTAGGAATGGATTCAGAGAATCCATTTTTCAGAAGGCTGGAGGGACATCATAATCATACTTCATGTATATCTGCCTTAATAGAAAAAGTTGGGTCAGAATGGAGATTGACCAATAATGTCCAAAGATGTTCCACCTCTCCTCCCATTCTCTTCTGCAACATTCCAGAATAGAGGAAGATGTGACATGGTGCACTCATCGGTGTCCCTGTCTCTGCAAGCATTGGCGAATGAAGGGGAGCGTCAGCAAGATGACAAACATTACCAACCAATGACGTATTGGACACATTCTTATTACAGAACATTGCAGAGAAAACAGGAGGAGGCTGGACCATTCCTTTTGGCAATAGATACATGCTACCATGGAGAACAACTGGTGTAGTCTTGGGAGAACTCTCCAGATGTTAAGAGTATAGGGAGAAATCACTTGGGTTTTTATTTCCTCTGCTGCAAACTGATTGTCCCATGCTTATTTTATTATTATGTCTCACTAGCCTATTTGTAGAAGGAATCAGGTTTATATTAAGTGGTTTAGTGAGATACCATTTCCAAATAAATGCAGTATGGCCCATTTCATTCACTACTTTTTTTTCTTGTGGTAAGGGGAAAAGTTTAAGGTTATATGAGTGTGCATTCTTCAACAAAATGTAATGCTTGCAAAAGAGATCCATTGTAGAGTTAGCTTAGTGGCTACCAGCTTAAGGAGACTGATCGAAACTGATGTTGGTTTGCTGAAATTTGGGCCGTGTTCCCATCCCTATCCTTTGGCCTCTTTAAACAACCCAATTTCATGCGAACTTCACAGTGTGCCTGCCATGGGACGGGAAAGCTAAACCAAACCAAGTAGCTTTTTTACAGAGGATGTGTAAAGAATTCTGTACTCCTACGTTCCATCATTCACCATCTGCTGGGCAAACCAGAATACGGTGGCATAAGCAGGTGGCAATAATTATGTATCATTTCATGAGCCTATCACCAAGCATATTTATATTATGAAGAAGGAGAAGTCTCTGCATTTTTTTGCTAGGAAAACGTACAGCATGAATCAGTTCTTTGCTTATTCACCAGGACTTTATTGTTTCCTGCATAATTACTTTATTTGTGTAGAATATAAATGATAAACCAACATACTCAAATGTTTCTGGGAGCCCAATCAGGTCGGAGGCAGTGGAACACATTACATATTTAATTTAATTTAATCTGATAGTTTTTAAGTATTTTCTGATGGTCACGTTTGTTGTCACATTAAGGCTGATGAGTCCATCAGAAATTAATCTTATAATAGGGAATGCCACCCCATATCCATTGGTTTGGCAATAATGTCCATCATGTCCATATATTTCTTCTAAATAGAACAAATTATAAACAATGCATCATAAGAACTTATAAATCCATTAGTACCAATTTTAGAACAGTTTATTAACTATGTTGCATAATTTTTCAACAAAATCTTAGGAGTCTTTTTTTTCTCCCAAACTGTGACAGACTTCCTCCTTCCTTTCAGTCGGTTTGGGATAAACATTTTTCTTCTTAATCCTTGTCAAATAAATCATTGTGGCATGTTAGATATCGACCCGTGAGCTTCATCATTTTTCATTTGCCTTTTTGTAAAAGATATATAATGATCAAGTAACTGAAGGAAGGCTTCTTAAGCATTAGGACGAAATTGTCTTAAATAATATGTGATAATTTGAATATATGTAAGGGAGGGATTTTTGGTTATGAAAAAAAATAGGGATTTTTGGTTGTGAAAAAAATTAATTGAATCCTGAATCTATTGAAGGGCTGAAAGTACAGAGAATATATAAACGAAGAGCCAGGAAACATGGAAAGAGCCACTAATAACAGAGTGGCACACCAACAACAGGTAACCTTGAAAAGAATGTGTAGATTGAAGAGTATGAGTGGAATTATTGTTGGAATGAATGAATGAACGAACGAACGAACGAACAAATATTTTTATTACAGTCACTGACTGGAATTAGAAGTATTGGTTACCCAGTGAGATCCATGTTGTATGGAACAACTCAGTATGAAACTCTTCAGATCACATTAAATAAAGATCTCAGTCGATAATGTAAGGTGACATCAGTTCTTTACAAGCTGAGACCTCTTCTGATGTTCATGAGTTTCAAGATTGGAAATTGGCTGGAAAACAGCTTCCTTCTGCACTGCTGATAGCCCAAGACGAAACAGAAGAAGCCCATAGTCCCTCTCCTTCCTTTCTTCACTTTGGGGATGGGATGGTGTGAGCTGGGTAGAGCCATAGTGCAGGATCTTTGCATGTGACTTACTTCCAGGTAACCTGGGAAAGGATTAGGCTGTGGATTTGGCTCACATCCCCAAGGTGACTTCTTGAGAAGAGGCAGAGTGCTCTGGGTTGTGCTGAGTCAGTGCCAGGCTTGTGAACAGGGAAGTGTTGTGGAAAATGCCCCAGTAACATTTAAGTGCTTGAGACAATGTTGTGTTTCATTTTACAAGAACAGCATACAGCTAACCTAGGAATGGGCACCCACCATTGCTACACCCATTGGTGGCTACTTCCCCCTGGGTTCTCTCGTGTGGAACAAGTCATCTAGCCTTGTTTCTCAGATGCCACCCTTGCAGTGCAGGGAAGAACCTCCACATAGGCTTTTCCTGCAAGAGCTGGACGTCTCACATTACAGAGGTGTGGCAAAGAATGGCGTTGCAGGGGCTTTTTAAAAGGAAGGAGCTATATGCTCCCTCCACTACCATTCACTGGGGTCATTCCTAAAGTTGACTCAGGCTCATTTTGCAGCAACTTGGGTCAATCGCTTTCTGTAGCTCCCCAAGAGTATCCACAGGGAGGGTCAAAAAAGTCAGGAAGATGAGTGCGTCATATGTGTAACACACCTAAAAAAGGGACAAGACCACATGGCTACAGCCACCATCTTGACTTTTTGCCCCACCTGCAGGCATCCTTGTGGCTACCCCAATTTCTTCAGAATGGACCTTCTGCTTTGTTGAGAGGACTGCCTTCTTCTTGGCATTTTTAAAAGCCTTAACATACAGATATTTGAATTAGATTGTAATGGTTGATAATTTTGTGTATGCATACGCACCTATGTATATTTTCCTGGCTTTTATTTTGGTTGACATTTTTACTGTAACAAGTTATGAGACTTCAGTAGTTGGTGGAATAAAAAGTCTGCAACATTTTTAAAAAATGAAATCTTGTTGATTTCCCCAAAAGTCTAACTGTAGAGAATATAGCCGTCTAAAGTTACCATGGTACAGAAATGAAGCAAGCTGGAATGTAGACTCAAATCAATCCATTCCTTGCTCTACCACCTCTGGCTTTTAGATTAGCTTCAAGAGTTTTTCTTCAGCATTAGCTTTGACTGATTCCATGTGTTGGCAGAACAGAGGTAAAGACATCATGTAATTTCCAAATATCTGTTTCTGATGCCATTACCTGTAATTGTACCACCTTTTTCACATGTTCTCTGTGTCACTTTGTAGGACCTTACTCTTAAACATTGTGTGAAGTACCTTTAAAAAGTCTCTTTCTCTTTCTCTCTCTCTCTCCCCCCTCTCCCCCCCTCCCTCCTCCAATGAGAAATAGAAGGATGGTTGAAAGTCTCCCAGGGGAGACTTTGACAGCTGTGGGGGGACTAGAACCTGAATCTCCCCACTCCTAGTCTAAGCTCTTCACTACTAAACCATACTTCCTCTTGCACTAACAAAGAGGAACTTGCCCAAAGTCATGTGGAGAGCTTATGTTGCTTGGAGGCAATAGAACCTGGGACTCCCCACTCCTAGTCTAGCACCTTCACCATACTGGCTCTTGGAGTGTTTTCACAGCACTTCTGGAATGCTATTGCTCCATCCTTTTCTCTCTCTTCGGTTGGCTGTAGAAATAGGGCAAGAACTCTTCTTGAAGATGTTGGACTGACTTTCATCAGCCACAAGTGAGACAAATTTTTCTCTCTTCCCCCACCCAAGAATGTCCTCTTGGAGCCTCATGAGATTTCATGAAAAGGAGGGAGCCCGAGCCCGAGCCCGAGCCCAAGATTGATCAAAGGCAAAGGAACATCGGAATGGAACCCAGAACCAGAGCCAGCGTAAATCTCCTTTCCTTCTCCTTAGCAATAAGGACCTCCAGGGTTCCAGAGAAGTGTTCAAAGGCGGCTTCAATATTCCCTGTTGCTCACCCAGAAATAGGACTCACCTCCAAAAATGTTAAGAACAAAAAGCAATGCATGAAGCAATGTCTGGATATACAGTATAGATAGAAAGGTATGGAGTGGTCTAGCAAATGGTGTTGGTAAACAAGGTTCAACCATATTTTCTTCCCTTCTCTCTCTTACCGTCTGCCTCCAGGTTCTCCTTCTCTTCCTTATTCCTTTTCTGTGCTCTGCATAATGTCTTCCTGCAGCCCCATGGAACAGCATGTTGGGTATCTAGTTATTTATTTATTATTTCAATTCACCCAACTCCATAGTGACTCTGGGCAGCTTACAGATAAAAGAAAACAAAATATCAAGAAAAAGAAAAAGACAACTGACCAGAGACAAGGGTCCAAAAAGCCATATAGCAAAAACAAACCAAAAAAAGGGGGGGGCTCATTCACCATGATAGACCAGGGCCTGGGAGAACAAGCAGGTCATCTGCAATTTGCAGAAAGTCAAAAGGGCTGGAGCAGTATGGATCTCCAGGGAGATATCCTCGCACAAGGCAGGAGCCATAATGGAGAAGGCACACTTCCTGGGTCCTGTAAGGTGACAGTCAACAGGACCTGGAACATCTCACTGGACAGGCAGAAACATGGGACAGGTGGTCCTCCAAATAGCCAGGCCCTAGGCCATGCAGAGCTTTATAGGTAATAACCAATACCTTGAATTGCACCTGGAAGTCACTGGCAACCAGTGCAGCTTGCAAAGCAGTGGGGACAAGTGCACATACTGCAACATACCCATCACGGCCTGCACCACTGCATTCTGGACCAGCTTTGCAGTGGTCTTCAAGGGCAGCCCCATGTAGAGTGCATTACAGTAGTCCAATTGAGAGGTGACCAAAGCATGAATGACTGTCTGAAGACCCTACTGATTCAGGACAGGGGCAACTGGTGCATAAGGTGAATGTGCACAAAGGTCATCTTGGCCAAGCTGCCATCTCCTCTTTGAGCAGGAGCTGTAAGTCCAAGAGGACCCCCAGATTGTGTACCAGTCTCACATGGAGAAGTGCAACCCCATTAAAGACTAAGGGGCCCTGGAACCAGAGGAGTCAAACAAAATGTTGTCGGGGCTGAGCCTGCGTCTGTTCCTCCCCTCCAGGCCTGCACAGCCTCCAGCACTGGGACAGGGATTGGATAGCATCACTTGATCAATCTGGGGTCAAGAGGTATAATTAGGTGTCATCGACATATTGATGCATGTATGTTGTAGGAGTTAGGAGGCAGCCTTGAACTGCTCAGAGTGCTCCCCTTTAAAACCAGGCTGATTTTCCAAGGGGGGCAACATTTTACTGGGCAAAATGGGTGCCTTAAAACCTCCACAGGCTCTTTCATTTTTCCACAAGGTATATTCTAGGTTAAACAAATGAAATCGGATATCAGTTGATTGCAGACCCTGGAAGATTCTCCAGAAAACTTCCAATTCAAAACATATTGGACAACGCCCACAGAACAAATTTTGGCGTAAGTAGACTTTGAGTTTGTTTTTAAATGGCAGCCCACCTATGTAGTAAATCACTTCTGAAATGGGATGATGGCTGCCCCAAATCAGTTTATAATATTACAGCAAAAGAAGATTATTCTTAAGCTCTTACCAGCTACTTTAGGCTGGTTATGTTCTTACCAGCTGCGATTTTCAGCTCCACAGAGAATACAAGTCAATCCTATCGTGCAAATCTGGACCATAAACGAATAACAAACTAACCTAACAAAGGCTCATGTGTCTAAATACAGACGTAACTGTTATTTTAAGAGAGAATTTATCACCATCCTCATTTAACATGCTCATGACAATCCACGGATTGAATCAGAAATAAATTAGGCATTGTTCCAAAAGCACAAACATTGATTTGGATCAGTGTTTTGTTGCTGGTAATCTTACACTCATAAAATATATGAATTGTTTGCTTAATGTATACATTGTGCGAGAGCATATTGGATGCCCGAGCGTTCTCCCTTTATGGGGTTTGATGAAGAGTAAGGATGTAAATCTGTTGGAACTTCACCTGTTTTGACTATGAGAACCACTGGGCCAATTTTATTTGAAGTCCAACATTCCACAGCTTTAGCTTTTGGACATTTAATATCCCACCCACACTCTGTTCCTTTTCTTGTCCAATTTTCTTTCCCATTTTAAAAGTTTGATACTTGATAGAGCACTTCTCTTTTTAGAGGCCCAAAGTTACAACAATTTACCGGTCGTAACTTAAGATGTTTTGTGGTTGAATTTTGCTTTATGGAGAGAATGCTTAGACCAGTGTTTCTCAACCTCAGCAATTTTAAGTTGTGTGGACTTCAACTCCCAGAATTCCCCAGCCAGCCATTCTGGCTGGGGGATTCTGGGATTTGAAGTCCACACATCTTAAAAGTTGCTGCGTTGAGAAACACTGGTTTAGACCCTAGTCTGACTCTTTAGGAGAAACTTCTTCAGGGATGGTAACACAATTTCCAGTGAATGGTGGGTAAACCCTACTGCCGGAAATAGTTGGAGTCTAAAGTAGCGTACACAATTGCCCTGATTTAATCTAAAACAGCCAGGAAAAAACTAGTACTGTCAGATAATAAGGTTTGAAGCTATTTGGGGTTTTTAAATCAACACCAATGTTTTAAATGGTGCCTAGTAGGCAATGTAGATCATTCAGCATAGGCATTATATGGTCCCTGTAACCTTGCTTGATTTGGTACCCTAGCTATGGCATTTTGTACCAATTGCAATATCCAGGCACTTTTCCAGGGTAGCCCCACATAGGGTGTGTTGCAGTAGTCAAGGTGGATGGTAACAAGACATGGGTAATCAGAAGGATACTGCCTGATTAAAGCAGGCTCAGAGGAGGTCAGCAAAGATGAACATGGACTTGAGGATATGGCTTATGAGAACAGGCTGAAGGAACTGCAAGTGTTCAGTCTGGAGAAAAGAAGATGGAGGGGAAACATGATAGCCACATCTGGTTAAATAAAGGGAAGCTACAGAGAAGATGGTCAGGAACTCTTTTACATGGGCACAGAAACTAGGACCAAAAATGATGGGTATGAATTGCAGTTACTTAGAATTTAAATGTAAAGAGAAACTTCCTGAGAGTAAAATCTGTACAGTGGAACAATCTACCTATAGAATTTATGGGTTCTACATCTCTGGAGACTTTTAAGAAGAGGCTGGGCACCCACCTCTCAAGGATGGTTGACTTGGCTTTCCTGCCTGTTGCAGAGGGGTAGACCAGAGGGTTGGACAGAAGGAATTACATGGTCAGTTCCAACTCCACAATTATATAGTCCTCTCTGTAAGCCAACCAGCTCAGGAAAGTTCACATTTGGCCACCAATCATAGTTCTCCAAATGCATATTCACCACTTGCAAATCCATGACAGTTGTGAGTCAATGAATTCTCCCAAACTGTGGATCTTATATTTTTTTTTTTCTTTCCTGGCAGAATACAGCCTTCCATTAAGGGCTGGCTTCATCTCAATCCCCAAGTCCAGCTTTCTTCTGACCAACAGCATCTTGTTCTCCCTTATCCAACCCGTTATCAAAATTAGGCAATATTCAAGAGTGCCGGTTGCACCTTTGAAGTCAGAAGGAAAGGAAATGAAGAGCTGGGTGTTGTCAGCAACTGATGCTGCCCCCCTCCCCATCCCCGTCAAAGCTGTGAATTATCTCCTCCAAGGTGATGTAGATATTGAACAACAAAGGGGAAAAGATGGAACTCTGTAGGTGTCAGGTTCAGCCCAAGAAACTCCACGAGACAATACTGGAACAGCTCAGTTACTTTATTAGCTTGTACCTGCTAGACAGAATCTCGCCTCCCAAAGCCTGCAACTAAACACTACGAATTCCTTAGGGTGGTGCCAGTCTCATCCTCTTCACTTTCCCAGGCTCAGGCTGTGAGTTGAGGAAATGCTTCTGTCCTTGAACCTCCTCATTCAAGTCCTCCATCACAGTAGGACACCATACATCAGTGGTAAAAGGGTAAAACAG